TATATATATATGACTATAATAATGTTGTCTTTACTGCTAAATATATTAAACAAAATAACAATTGCTATTGTATTGTTTCACTGTGAAATAAATTATTTAAAAATCACAGTACAACTGTAAAATTACAACATTTAATATTCATTGCTGTCTTAATTTCAAGCTTTTATTTTGGTGTAAAACCATTAAAGCTTCTCTTTTTGTTGAATTTATTTCAGCTAATCGTGCAGCCCTCTTTGGGTCATGAGGCAAATCCAGCTGAACTTATTGTAGACATGAGAGTCCACAACACGAGGCACAGTCCTGAATATGGTTTGTTTGTTTGTTTGTTTGTGGTTGTGTGGATCTGTATTCAGAGTTGATGTTTGTTTCAGAAAACCCTGCGAGCGATGCTGGTCTACACTCCCTGTCACTCGGTGTCAGAGCGGACGCGATTACAGCAGCTGCTGCGGCCCGTGGTGGAGACCATCCTGGTCAAGTGTGCAGACGCTAACAGGTACTCGCTTGAGAACAGCTCTGACCCCACGTGAACACAATCAGAAGATCTGATATACATCAAATCATATCTCAGGCCGCCGTCTAGGCTCTGAAGTTAACGGGCTGTCTCCACCTAGTGGTCAGGCGCTGTCACAAACAGATAAATAATAAATGCTGGTGTTTGTTGAAGTGCTGATATTAGGATTTTGTTTAAGTTTTCAGTATGAAATCAAAATGGACACTATTTGCTCCACTACACCTTCCTGGCCTTATTGTAGATGATATAAGGGTGTGTGTTATTTTAAAGTAAACAATGGTTGTCTTTATAATCTTTCATTTGTTGTTTGCTCAAACAACTTTCTTTTTCAGCGGGCATCACTACAACCTAATATTTTTCAGTTCTGCTTTTCATTATCCAATCAGTACTTGATGGATGATCAAGTATCAACCTTTTTTTTGGAACATTCAGTTTGTTCAGAAAAAGACCTCACATTGTTATGTTGACTTTGAATGCAAAGTGTTTTTCTTTTTGTGCTCGTAGTCGCACCAGTCAGCTGTCTGTCTCCACTCTGCTGGAGCTGTGCAAAGGTCAAATGGGGGAACTCGCTGTGGGAAGAGAAATCCTCAAAGCAGGTACAAATTAGAGCTGTGACAGTTGAGTGTATGAAGTGACCCACGTTCCACACTTTCTCTTTTTGGCATTTTCAGTGGCATAGAGGAGTGCATAAGTACGCAAATTGGGAAGGAAACATTTTCAGTATATAACAAGCATACCTCACGTAAAGCTATTATAAATACTTTGTGTAAAAAAGGAATAGCTCAAAATACAGGTTTAGAATGAGTAAATTACCTCCTTTTTCCTTTTCACAGACATTCTTTTCTTCTCTTTCTTTCTGTATATATATATACAGTGGGTACGGAAAGTATTCAGACCCCCTTAAATTTTTCACTCTTTGTTATAGAAGTCCTTAGCAATGCATATTACTAATCAAAAATTAAGTTTTGATATATTTACAGCAGGAAATTGACCAAATGTCTTCATGGAACATGATCTTTACTTGATATCCTAATGATTTTTGGCATAAAATAATAATTTTGACCCATACAATGTTTTTTTTGGCTATTGCTACGAATATACCCCAGCGACATAAGACAGGTTTTGTGCTCCAGGGTCACGTATGTATATGTGTGTGTATAAATATTTGTTTGCTTTTCAATGAAGACGTTTTCATCTCTGATTGTCCATCAGGCTCTATTGGTATTGGTGGAGTTGACTATGTCCTGAACTGTATCTTGGGCTCTAAAACGGAGGCCAATAACTGGCAAGCACTGCTGGGTCGGCTGTGTCTGATCGACAGGCTCTTACTGGAGTTTCCTGCTGAATTCTACCCTCATATTGTGTCAGGTGGAGACTGTAACCAGGCCCAAAACGTTGTGGAGAGGTACAGACATGCATCCTAATCTTACTGTGCTTCTGTTCTCTATTTAATATGAACCATTTTAAAGATGTATCATTTTTGCAACCCTGTTAACAATTTTTTTGGGACACACGTGATATTTTCAACTGATAAAATGTTCGTGAGCATAAAAAGGAAATCAAATTTGTACAGTTGTAAAAAATGCATTGCAGAACAAGTACCAGGATTGTAGATTAATCTCTAGTCTTGCATGGCCAGACCTTCAGACTCAGCAGCTTTCATTGACCGACATGTAAAGCAACAAATCACTGTAAATGTTGTTCAGCATCTTCTTTAGGGGTGTGGAAATGTAAAGTTGATGTTGCTACAATAATGCAACCGATAAATCATTCATTCAAGAACGTCGTCTTCAGTCGTCAAGAGTCTATGTCGTGAACTTCACATACTTCTGAAAGTCCAGCATTTTTAGTTGATCCTAATAAGGAATTATTGTCACTAGGGATGTCCGAGTCATTGAATATTGAGTGTCTGCCGATACCGAGTCCCGATCCGATACTTATATATTCCTAGTGTTTGATGCACAATTAAAGTACATTAAAGTTATTCAAATCAATCCATATAGGCTGGATTTTATATATATATATATATATATATATATAAGATAAACTCTCTCTCTATGTATATATTTCCACATACTATATTAAGACATTGGTGGAATATAGAACTACTGATATGAACTTGTATTTTAATAAGCAGAATAATTGCAACATGAAGGGAAAAAAGTGGCGATATGGTTAGAAAGCATTAAGCTCACAGTGTCAGAATGCCACTCTGTCAGTCAAATCTGAAGCAAGACGCAACTCATAGCAATGCGTTATAACAACGACGTCTCAGATAGTCTGACAGCAGATAAATATAAGCAGTAAATAAATGAGTGATCGTTTCAAAAGTGGTATTATATACACTGAACATGGAAGCTCAAACACGCACATTTCTTCTTTTGGTTTTAATGGCGGCTGAACACACACACTTGTTCGTCTTTTTTTCCTTTTAATTGTGGTTGGCAAATCTACTGGAAGGCGCATAATGCAGCCTACTGCATGATACCGGCATGACAGCTGACATAAAATAGGGATCGGGCTTAAGAAAGCAGATACCGATCAGTTTAAAAAATGCTTGATCGGCTCGGGACATCCCTATTTGTCACAGCTGTAAACATGACAGCTTTCTTGTTCCATGAGGCGGTTTGGCATCATGACGGCTTTGTTTTTCGTTAAAGAAAGCCACACTCATGTCTTCTGGAAATCCTGATGAATTCAACCAATCAGATGACGACTTTCGAAACTCCCAAAGTGTTTCCCATTTTGTGTGTCTTATGCATCAGACATTCAGCCAACATTGAGTCAAACTGAATCGGGAGCTTAAGAAACACGATCAAAACGAATTGGGAAATCTCTAGTGATACCCATCACTCAATAAGAGCATGCTAGATTGGTATATGTTCGCTTTTTATGTTGTATTTGGCAGTAATAATCATCATGTGTTAACAGGGTTGCAAGCAAAACACAGGACACAATACAATATTCAGTTTTTGATCATTAGAACAAAGTTAAAATGTAAAGAGAAGCCAGTTTGCACCGCCTTTGTGCAAAGTGCTTTACTATATTGTTTTATTATATTTAATTTGAAGGTATCAGAAGCTGCTGCCTCTTCTGAGTTTCGCGCTGCAGTCCATCGATAACTCTCACTCCATGGTGGGTAAACTCTCTCGCCGCGTCTTCCTGAGCGCTGCTCGTATGGTAGCGCGTGTGCCTCATGTCTTCGTTAAGCTCCTGGACATGCTCAACATCACCAGCTCCACTCACTATGCCCGCATGCGCCGGCGTCTCCTGGCCATCGCTGAGGAGATGGACATCCTGGACGTCATCCATCTGGGACTAGACGACCTAAAGGCCTACAGTTCGCACTCCAGCGCTTTCCTCGAACCCTCAGCCCCCCATAACTCCCCATGCGCCACCGAAAGAAACTCTCCCACCCCTGATCTACAGCAGCCCACCGCCAAGGTGGCGCTTTCAGGTCAAGCCAGTTCAGCTCCTGTGGACGATATAACCGAGAGACTCTCAAACGTCGTCACAAGCCCTGCTGAGTTTCCAAAGCCCCCCGTTCAGGCCCGAAACAGACCCGTGAGTCAGTGTTTGAACTCCCCATCATCCAGTCAACCCCCGAGCCTTCCTTCTCTGTCCATGGCCAACGCCTCAGCCTTCCCTCCAGAAAACCCCAAAGCCCTGCCGCAGAGTTTTATGCCCAACAAACTCGCCCAGTCCTCATTGAGTACCCAGTGTAAGTTGCCTCTGCAGAAGGGACTAAACTGTAAGGAGCCAGAGAAGCTGCCTTCGCCCGTGTTTACCCAAGCTCGACCACTGAGTCAGATCCACTGGCCCAGACCCACTCGCCCCTCTCCCGCTGCCTCATCCGAAGGAGCTAAAGCTTTAAGCCCAGGGACAAAGAGCAGCATGAAACTGGACCTTCAGGAGGTCAGGTCCAGAGACGGCGCGGTCTGCAGAGGCGGATCAGCTCTCATCCCCAGCGAGGACTCGGTCTTCACCCCAGTGGAGGAGAAAGTCCACGGTCTGGACGCCTTGGCTGATCTCAGCTCCAGCATGGAGGACCTGTTGGAAACCTCCATCCCCGCGGCAGACAGCACCGTCACCTTCCAGTCCGAAGTGGCGGTGCTGTCACCGGAGCAGGCGAACACGAGCGACGACACGTACAGCGAGGACGTGACCCAGAACCAGAAGTGCAAGGAGAAGATGGAAGCTGAGGAAGAGGAGGCGCTGGCGGTGGTCATGGCCATGTCTGAGTCGCAAGATGCCCTACCTGTCATCCCACAGTTACAGGTGGAGAAAGGAGAGGACGTGATCATTATTCAGGTGGATGTAAGTGCTTTACTAATATAGTACACGTTGCCCAAAAATGAGGCTGAATCCTTTGTACACGGTTGAAAAAAAGGTGCAAAAACCGAACATTTAAGGATACAACAACTTGTCACTGGGTCAGTGCTCTTAAAAGGACAACATTGTATCTTATCTACCGTTAAAATTAGTAATATATACCGTTAAGGTGCTACTATGAACCCTTTACTGGTAAATAAGGTACAAACATGTCCCTTTTAGGGTAACAAGCTGTTGTAACACTTAAAGGTAGAGATTTGACACCACTATATTTAGGTTTTAAACCTTGCACAAATCATTCAGTTTAATGCAATTGTAAAGTCTTATGCAAGCACTGCTCGTGTATCATTTTAAGATCAAACAGTGTGTTTGGCTTCATTTTTTTTCCCCATTTTGCTTTTCATGGTCAGACACCAGAGACTCTGCCTGGTCATACCAAAGCAAAGCAGCCATACAGGGAGGGCATGGAATGGCTCAAAGGTCAGCAGATTGGCCTGGGTGCCTTTTCGTCATGTTACCAGGCTCAGGATGTGGACTCTGGCACTCTGATGGCTGTCAAACAGGTGAGAATATCTGTCACACACCACACAGCACTTCGTATGAGATTTTCACTATGGATTTGTAATCTATTGCAGTGGTTCCCAACCCTGGTCCTGGAGGCACCCCAACACTGCACGTCTCCTTAATCAAACACACCTGATTCAGGTCATCATGAAATTGGTGTCAGAGAAAGGAGACATGCAAAATGTGCAGTGTTGGGGTGCCTCCAGGACCAGGGTTGGGAACCACTGATCTATTGCATCATCCTCACCGTTGATTACTGATCAATCCTACCTTAGCCAATTTCGATGTCCACCATTTTCTCAGACTAGCCTTTGCTCTTTTCTAACATGTTTAAGGAGGATCTGTGTGTGCTAGTTGTAAATGCAAATTTACAAAAATGATTCAAAACTGCTTTGAGACGATGTTGCCTGGTCCCTTACAACAACAGTGACACAAGGTATACCCGGGGTTGCCGGGTATGCAAAGGCACTAAATATAGGCACAAAGGGGGCTGAATGTGTTTTGTTTTTGGCCGTAATGAATGAACATACTATATGCAGACATAATGCTTGATTGAGATTGGTTTTATTCTTCAGGTGACGTATGTGAGGAACACCTCCTCAGAGCAGGAAGAGGTGGTGGAGGCACTACGAGAGGAGATCCGCATGATGGGCCTCCTCAGCCACCCCAACATCATCCGGATGCTTGGGGCAACCTGTGAGAAGAACAACTACAACCTGTTTGTGGAGTGGATGGCAGGTTAGTTGTCCGCAAACATGCAGAGAGTAAACATAAGCAAAATTCTGTGGGCAAAACATGCCACTTTTAAACCAAGCAGCTTTCTTTTGGTGATGGTGGTGCATTTGCATGACTAACTTTTGCTAAATCTGTCCTCACACAAATTCCCAATTGTGTGGATTCCTATTGAATTGGCTGGATTTCGCCTGCGAAAATGGCAAATGTTATTGCACCTTAAAGGTAGTAGCTGTGTTGGGATCTCACAGCGCATTAATACATTATCAAGAGGTCCTTTTGGCTAATTTCCTCTTTGCAAGCAACACTTATCGGTCACTGTTTTGCCCGATATCGTCCTGGCCCATAAAAGTCATACTCGGACTCCTG